GCCCCCCTTGGGGTGCTGCTCAAGGCAGTTTTTCTGTGTGCGTGGCACGCATTTCTCTCCCTGTTGATGCAGGGGCTGTAAAGGCGTGTGCGAGGTCACAGCACTGAGAGCCTTGGCAAGCTTGCAGATGTTTGCAGGCATGTAGCTGATGGATCTGCAGGGAGATAGCTCATCACCAGCACCTTATCAGCATTTATCAGCTGGCCTGTGAGTGTGGTGTTAAGGGAAAGGGCATATCCCAGCTCTACAAAACAGGCTTTTTCCTGGCAGCGTCATCAGCTGGGAAAGCTGAACTCTCTGTGTGGTCTGTCCCATCACTTTGCTTTGCACTTTTCCTCCCAGAGGTTGGAAACCAGAGTAACAAATGCTCGTTCCCACGCATGGGCACCATGAGTGCCTGATGCTAGAAGGAGCCAGGTCATCCATGGTATTGCTGGCAGTGCCTTTGCTGGAGATCTGTCCCTATGTGTTATTTCAGGAATGATTATCACTGAAATTTGGTTCTGGTGGTAAGACAACATGCTTAGTGAAAGCGGCGGCTCTCGTTGTATGCCTTGTGCTTGATTGTTGTCCCTTCTACAGAAAGGGCACACAGTGTCTGCCAAAACCCAGTGCTGTGGGTTTGATTTTCTGCAGGTTGAGGTAAGTCTGTCTTGCCACTCGTGTGCCCTCCAACCGCAAAAAATAAAAAATCCAGCCTTATATTGACCTTACGGCTGTAGTGAAGGAGTTGTTCGATAAGCGCTGTGATGCAGGTGAGGCAGAAAGACCTTTTGGCCAGTGCTTTTGATTTTGAGGGAAGCAGTGAATCCCTGGAAGCAGCAAGGGAGGCAGCAGCAGCATCCGCCCACCCAATGAGGTTGGTGTCATCCCTTGCATCGTGCCTGGGGATGGTGGTGGTACGGAGCAGAGAGGGTGGTGCTGGATGGAGAGCCCAAGTGTTACCTTGCATCAGAGCGGGGGGTCAGCGTCACGGTGTAGTGCTGGCATGGGGTCATGAAGCCCACAGCTGCCCATGGGGATAGGGCTCCTGCCGGTGTAGGGCACAAACCCCTGGCTCTGCTGGCAGCCCCGCGTGCGGTGCTCTTCCCCTTTGCCGGGCAGCGAGGTTAAAACTTTGTCAACACAAGTGAGCTGGGCTGATTTCTAAGCTGACTCAGTTTGCAAACAAGCTCTTGGGCTCAGTCCCACCAGGGCGCGTGTCAGCTTCAATTCTTTCCTGATAGGCTTAGATCATAAACAGTGAAAACCCCTTTGTTTAGACCGTCAGACGAGTGTCCAGCTCTGCCTTTGGCATCGCACCAGCTAAATCCCTTCTTCTGCGCATGTTTTGTGCAACCCAGGGCAGCTCCTGTATGCCAGGGTCGGGCCTGGGGCTGCTCTGGAGCCTCCTGCACAGCTCTCGGGAGGAATTGCAGAGGTTTAGGAAGGTACCCAAAAAAAGTGGGTTCTTATGTTTCACTCGTGGACAGGTGAAGTGCAGCGATGGTAGTGAGATGGGAAGAGGCAAGGAGCCTGACCCTGAAATGACGTGTCTTATGAAGGCTCTGAAATGGGCTGTTTATTTATCCCAGTGCTAAACTGGGGCATTTCTCTTTAGACTGGATATAAGGAAGAAATTCTTTACAATGAGGATGGTGAAACACTGGAACAGGTTGCCCAGAGGGGTGGTGGAGGCCCCATCCCTGGAAACATTCAAGGCCAGGTTGGACGGGGCTGTGAGCAACCTGATCTGGTTAGCAGTGTCCCTGCTCCCTGCAGGGGGGTTGGACTAGATGACCTCTAGGGGTCCCTTCCAACCCAAAACATTCTATGATTCTTCAGACTACTGCAGATGAGCATGGAGAAGACCATACTTTTGTGGCTGGCTTATACCCTCACACGGTACCAAGACAAGAAGGAGATGCATGAGTTGCTGTGTGCAGAACTCATGTTCTCTAAATCACATTTTAAAACCCCAAAATAGAAGTGGCCGAGTACCTGCAGGGCTCGTGAGTCGAGCTGGCTGAAGAAAAAAGGGCTGAAAGAGCGGCCTGGGGTAGGGGGAGTGACCATGGGAAGGATGAGCTGGCTGTGGCCACTGATGTAGAGAGATAAGGATTAAAATAATGCTTTGCCCTACTCTAGCATCTTTCCTTGGAGCCCTCGATGTGCTGTACGGTGTTGATGGCCAATTTGCTGGGTTCTGTTGAGGGGATTTTTTTGGGCTGAATTTCTCAGGAATTGGTTTTATGTGAAGTTCAGGTTGGAGCTTCCAGCAGCTGTCTGGCCCCGCCACGCAGGAGGTCTGGCAGCTGTGTAGCAAGGGCAGGCGCAAGCCTGCTGCTTGGGGAAAAAAAATCTCTCATCGGCGTGAGAATATGGTCCTGCCACGTTTGTACCGGCAAAACCTTGGGTTTTTTACTTTCTCTGCTTTTTTGCCACATCAATCCTGTGAATCGTTTCGCTTCCCTGACGTTTTAGTTGTCGCGATATTACTGGAGACAACTTTGTGTCTTTCGGGATTATATCAGAGGCAATTTGCAGCACTGAATTGCAACACGGTGCCTACTTACTCGGCAGCATTTTAGCACGTTGTTCCCCTTTCAACAAGTGTTTTTCCTTGTGGTGCAGGGAGGGCTCAGAGATGGAAACCCCGCACGGTGCTGAGGGCGGACACTGTTATTTTGGGGGCTGTTGCAATGCTTTGCAAGGGTAACAGCTGAAAAAAATAGATGAAATGAGAGCTGATAGCATCAGGCAGCTTGCTGTGGATATTATGCAAAGGTAGAAAAAATAGGGTGGGTGTCAAGATTGGTGGTGTTTTCTTCTCGCATTAGGGGTGCTGGTTACACAGCGAGGAAGGTGTTGCTGGCAGAGAGCAAATGGAGAGCAGTTAAAGGGAGCAACATATGCTGTTGCCTTCCCAAAATGTTTTGTGGCTTTAATTAAAGAATGGCTGCAATGTGTTTCCAGATCTTCCAGTGGAAAACATGAAATAAAACCTTCTCTTTCATTATTTTTTCTGTGTTAATTTGACAGGCTGAGCCTCCTAGGGTTCATCCATCCCCAAGCCTAGAGCCATAGATATTTCTTGCGTAAGGTTGCCAGCGGGAGGGGAGATTTTGGCGTGCCTGAGGTTTAGCCTAGGCCGATGTCCCGTAGAAATTTGTGGGATTAAAACCCTTATTTCAAGTTAAGTGTGTTGATAAATGAGGTGTTGAAAAGTATGGGTTTAAGTATGCTCTTAAACCCGTATTTCCTCCTCCACAAACTGGGAAACAGGAGGTCCGGCCATCAAATGCTTGCGGCGCTTGGATGTGAAACGGCTCCCGACTTGTGCTGTTTCCAGCTCGTGCTGACATGGTGTTTTCCGTACACCATGCCCTGCTGGCATCTGTGGATCTTGAGTTTCCACCTGAGCTGCTGAACTTGCCTGCCACTGTGCGCCTGATGGAGGGGGCGAGCGCTGGTGCCATCGCTTCGCTGCCGGTTTGCACAGCTGGAGCTGGGCAGGATCACCCCTGAATTAAATCAGCTTTTGATTAATGTTAGTCAGCATGTAGGCACTTGGACGTGTCTGGGAATAAACTACCCCAATTTCTGTCAAGGCTTCCTATCTTAAGAGCGGATTGAACAGAAAAGCTAAAGACCACAAGTCCCACGCTGATATTTCTGCTCCAGCTGTCTGCAGATGTGCCATTTCTATCCTGGTTTTGTGATTTTTTTTTTCCCCTGAGAAAACCTGCTGTAATTGTTGCCCTGCACACCCAGAGGTGATTTGTCAAAACCCCTATCGCTCCTTGGTTAATTCAATATTTATAATGTCTTTATAAGGCTGGTCCCACTCTGCTGACTTGGAGGTGAGGTGGGAGAATACGTTGTGTGATTTAGGCTGCACGAAGCAGATCCGCCGGGGCCTTCAGGCTCGGAGGGAGGAGGTGAAGGTAGCAGTAATGGGGTGCCCAGGCAGAGAAGATGCAGCATCTTTCTCAGCATCCCTGCCCAGCTCGTCCCAGCACACAGCAAAATCCCGGCGATCAGTGGGAATGAAGAGCAGCAGCGAGCCGAGCCCAGGCTGATTCCATGGTTTAGGGCCTCCTATTTGGTTTCTGCATCTTCCCTAAGATGTTTCTTGATGCAGCAATTTCATAAAACCAGATTAATCTCTGTTTGTGACCTTTCAGAGAGCAAGCCAGGCAGGGCAAGACGGGTGGTTTATGTTATTGGATGTCGTATCATGCGTTAGTGTATAATAATCTTGAAATGAAACATGATTGAATGGTCCAGATACTGGAATTCATATTTTGTTTTATTTTTAGGAAAGAAAATTTCTAGAATCAAATTCTTAGAAACTTTCAGAGTTAAAGTTCCCCAAGCCACTATCGTTTTGGGTGGAAATTTTAATCAGAATTGAGAAGACTCCACCAAAATCCCTGTTTTTCTTGAAGCTTTTTTTTCCCCTAACAAGTAAATGTTTTGAGAGTTTCAGATGGGCGCTGTTCCCAAGATCTCCATCAGCTCACAAAGCCTCTTAGTGTTTGCTCTTTTGTAAAGCAGTTTTGACAGTAATGGATGGGTTGTTGGGTTTATTTAATCCATCTCTGTAAAATCTTAGTGCTGAAAGCTGTTCGGTAGTGTCAGATGATAACAGTGCTGCTGCTGAATGAATTGCAGAGAGACGACCCCGCCATGCGGATCCCCTGAACCCCGGCACAGCAGCCAAGATGGGACCTTGGCATCCTTAACCAGGCAGGGCTCGTCCACCCCTGCGTTCACTCTCCAGTGGGGATGTCCACGGGTGTGCAGGGCAGGGGGGACCTTGGTGAAATGCCCTGTCCTTGCAGCATCTTGGCAATCAGTGGGTTGGGTTTTTTTCTCCCTTCCTACACAAGCTTTAGTGTGGTCCCTTATGACTTGCCGGCTCCTAGCAGGGAGCCACTCCAGGGTCGAAGTGTCCCACAAAGCATCACAGTAATGCTGCAGACACCTTACCTGGCACCCCTCCCTTCTCTTCGCAGGAGGGGGACTCCCTCGGGGCCATGGAGAAGCTTTGCCGGCAGCTCACCTACCACCTCAGCCCCCACTCGCAGTGGAGACGCCAAGGCATCATGAAGAGGAAACCGCAGTCCTGGTGAGTCGAATGCCACCATCACCCCCCTGCGTCTCTGGCTCTTCCTTGGCCCTTGAGTCCTTGGGACCACTCACAGGCTCAGAGAGTGGGAAGGGGTTTTTTCCACGATGCTTTTGGCCATGGTGTGCAAATGTGGGTGCTGGTGGGAGCTTCCTGTTGCACACCTGCAGCAATGGGAGGAACAAATTCACCACGATGAAGGAAAGTACTTAAAACCGTTAGCCAGGGCTGCGAGGGAGCCAGGAGGTCAAAACCTTCTGAGCTTGCCACAACCTCCAAAATCCTCATTTGTCTCCAATCTCACCGGCATTTTCCCCATGCATGGCTGTGTTATCAGGTTGCTTCATGCTCACCCAGAGGTGTCTTCCTCCTTTCCAATTCTCCTTTCCCTGTTGCATCCTGGTTGCAGAGGAGAGCAGCGCGGTCGTGCCCGGGGAGGGGGAGCAGGCTGAAATCCTGAGCCATCCATCCTCCAAACATCCCCATGCTGGGCATTGGAGAGCAGGAGACAAATTGCTCCAAGACTTCCTAATTAGCTGGTAGTTAATGTGCTGACATGTGTCACCATGCATGCCATAGCTTGCGGCGTGTTTACACAAAGGGAACTGTTTGATTAAAAATAGGGAGTAAATGACCCCCGCTCCCCTCCTTGCCCGGGTCCTCAGCAAAGCGTCCCAGCTGCCAACACCCTGGATCCATGGAGGCTGATGGGGACAAAAAGGGCTCCTTGGGTCTTGTGATGTTATGCATTACATATTTAATTTATTATTTTTGTTTAAGGAAGTGAGAAATCCAAAAGAAGCCGCAATCTGGCAGAGTCAGGATTTGTATCTAGGTGCTTGCTCATGGTCCCAAGAGACTTTTGGTTCCTGTGGTAGTAGATGTTATTTGTAGCCATAGTGGAGACTAATCCCATGAAAAAGTGTAGTGTGAATAGAGAAGAATAGAGATGAAGAGGGGAGGAAAATGGACACAAGAGGGAAACAGGCACGAGAGAATAAAGGGCTGCGTGGCCAAATAGGATTAGGACCGCATCTCCCAGAGATCTGGCTCAGCATCCCCTGTACCCTGTTGTCCTTAGAGACCCAAATGTGGAGAAATGCCTCCATTCCATTAGCAGTAGTAACCGTACTTTTGTGTGTTGAGAGTTTTTAAGGTCTATTAATGACTAAAATTTGCTCTCTCCCATAAAGCAGCAGAGGGAGTACGTTGGGGCTGCGTGCTGCAAGGCCATGCCCTGCGGGCTGGGCTCAGCACACAGAGCCGGGTAACGACCCAGGAGCTCAGTTACCCTTGTGGGTTTTTTTCTTAAATAGAATAGGAAATGCACACCCCTCGTCATCCCATCAGGACGTTATTAAAGTTTACGCTGATACGGCAGCGGAGAGCTCTTTAGAGTCCAAAAGACAAGAAATTCTTGAAAATTAAAAAAATTAAAGCAGTGCTTTGTGCCACTCTGTCTTTAATTACCAAACTCTGTCCTTAATTATCAGCTTGGAGTGGTTGTGCGAGCGCATCCGTGTGCCAGAGATCTGCGAGGCTTTATCTTACAAGCCTGCCATAATGCTTCCCTTTCCCTGGAAGAGCTAGGAAATAGCTGAGGTTTTTCACGGTTTTAATAGCAGGGATGAGGTTTTGGCCCTAAACGAGCCCTGACCACAGGGCAGTGACCCCAGGGCTGCCAACATGTGGCGCTGGCTGCTGGCTAGTTGAAGCCAACCCTTTGCTAAGGTCTACATGCCTTAATATAGAGAATATTTAGAGAATATATAGAGAATGGAGAGAACATCTGTCTTGTCTTCCCCGTGCTTGAAAACGCACTGCTTTATTTGTGTGCCAGCAGTTACCCTGTTAGGGATGCTCCTGATCTCCTGTGTCTGTTAGTTGGTGGGTAATTCCTTCCACAGCCGATGACCAGCGGGTGTTTCCCTGGAGCCCCCTGCTCTCGGCTGGAGTTTGCAAGTGCCCTGCAATGCCTCCAAGGCAGGAATGGAGCCTTGTTCCCAGGTGTCGGCGTTGGCTTGACTCAGCCCTGCTGTCAGATGTGGCAGGAACTTTCAGCTACTGAGTTTACATGCTTTTTTGTGCATCTGTTGGCCATCCACAACCCATCAGTGCTCTGCTCTAGGGTATAATTAGTAGCTGGCTCTAATGGCCAGGGAGCTACAGAGCCCCTCTTTGCATCCGTTTCTTCACAAGGAAAAGACCTTCAGCTCGGTGCGGTGATAGCAGAGGGGCTTCGGTCCCCGCTGATGGAGTAGGAGAGAACAGGCCCATTTTACCAGAAATAAAAACGAGGCCTGTGGGAATACTTTCCCAGCTCTTTCTGTAGCTGGTTTTATCACGCCACATCTTGTTCTGTTCCTTTGCTTTGCTGGTTGCTTTTTGTTTAGAAACTAAACAGGGCCAATAAATCAAGGGATTCCTGGGCTTTCTTCGAAGTTCCCATTCCTTCCCTTCCTCTCCCTCCTTGTGTGCTGGTTTTTGGGGGGGCTGACTGTGCCCCCATGGAGAAGGTGTTTGGTAAGTAGCTATGGATGGCCCTTGTAATTAGGATATGTTTTATTTTGATTTATTGGAGGCTACCCTTGTGAAATCCCCCTTTGCACAGGCACAGAAGCAGCCCAACCCGGTGCCTGGGAAGTCTGGGACTCGTGGTGTGGATCCCATATGACTGGGGATTAACTGCTCCTCTTCCGAGCCCAGGGCTCGCTTGCTATCTCTCCTTGATGCTCAGAGATACTCCTTGGTGACACCCGCTCAGCCAGCAGCCAGTCCGGGGCAGAGATTGGGTGTCACAGCCATCACTCAAAAAAGGAAAAGTCCTTTCCTTGTTTTTTGGGGGAAACTGGCTTAAATTAGCAACTGTGAGAATGAGCCTTTGCTTATAATATGGACAGAGCCTGAGGGGCTCTGTCGATACTTTCCATCTGGGTTTATTAAGGGAAAATGGGATTATTAATTGGAAAATGCACTAGGTTGTGCACGCTCTTGTGTTGCAACAGCACTTGATAGAGTATGAATTATTCACGAGAAGTGATCAAGCATTGTGATCTGTGCCATGGCTTCATGAAGAGGCATCATTTCTCCAGGCTCATGGCTGCGCCTGTCTCCTGATGCTTGCAGTCCCATGTCCCCTGCAGCTGGGTTAGACATGTTGGAAGTGTTTGGGAAGGGATTGGAGTTTTGATTACCCCTAATTATTGGGAGTGCATTTGTGGGAAACGGAGGCTGATGTGCAACTGCATCGGCTGCGTTGGTGCAATGCCGATCCCTCTCTCTGATCAAAAGGCTTCCCCAGTTGTAGGATCAAGGGGGTCTCAGGCACTGGTGGGACATTTCTCTCTTCTTGCTCAGGGCTAGTGAAGGGGTGGTGGCCTCTGGATGTCATCATATTGCCACGTCCTTGGATGCCCACAGTCAAATTTTTAGTGGGATAGCATCCCTTCTTTACTCAGTGTCCACTGGCATTGCCAGCAGGCATCGGGGGATGTAGCCACAAGCAGTGGGGTGGATCAGTCCCTGCTGAGGTACCTCTGCTGAGGTCTTGCCGGTGTGGTGAGTGAGAGCCCTGCACGTGGGCGCAGCTCGACCGAGCGCTGAGCAAAGCCAAAGAGCTGTAATTTGTCTCACCAGAAATGGGGCAAAATAATTATGAGGGAAAATTGCTTTTCTTTATTCTGCAACTGCTGTATTCATTACAGGTGATAATCGGAAGCAGAACAGCCGGAGGAGGAGGATGGGGACAGATGATAGAGAGAACTGGAGCTGATTTTTTTCGGTCAGTCATGCTAAGCCAGGCAGCCTGCCGCGTAGGCAGAAGAGGAGGTTCACGCTTTGCGTTTCCATCTCACCCCGAGCATCACATTCGGTGTGTGCACGGGAAGAGCCAAATTGAAGGAGAAGCACTCAGTGTTGGCTGCCTCGCTCTGCCATGCTGCCTGGCACCGGAGCACCCAAAACTGTGCCAAATGACCTGATTTTTTTTGCATATTAGAAATCTGTCTGTCTCTCACTTGCTGTCTCCCTCTCTGTGCCTCCCCCTGAATTGCATATATTTATATTAAACATGCAGGATGAAAATCAGCGTTTTGGCTGGCAGGGTAGCCAATAGGAGGAGGATGAAACCAGCCTGCTAAAGTAATTTGTACATCTCTCTCTCTGTCTAGGGACATGATTACAGTCCAGTGTTTAACTAGCAAGCATTGAATTAGATCCTGGAATCTCCCCGCTTCTCCTGCTGCCAAGTGCTTGCCTTCAGCATCACAAAAGCAAAACTGCTAATCAAAGCTCCGTGCATCCCTAATTGCTTTGGAGTACAGGGCTTGTGCGCTTCGTGAGGAGGGAGGAGGTGTTTCCCAAGAGAAACGGCCTCTGTGGCTTTGCTGTGTTTTTCCCATCCCTGGATTGTCGTGGCCAGTGCGTTGCCTTTGCTTGCCGCCTGTGTTGCCACTGTGCACAGGGGCGATAGGAGCCTGTGCAGGGTTGGGGTGGGGGTGCCTGCCCCGCCGGGCTGAGCAGTGGGCAGCGTCTGAAGAAATATTGATTATTTGTGTCCTAACTCTGAATCTAGCCCTGTTTTAAATCAGGTAAGCCCCTTTTTTGCACACAGTTCCTCTTGATGCCACTGGAGTGCGAAGTGTGGAAGAATTTAGGATGAAGCAGCTCAATTTGAGCACTGAATTACATGGGGTCAATCTGGACCTAAGTCCATGGATTTTTGAACTCTGCTGTTGCTCTGCAATAAGCAGAGAAACTCCCAAAAAGAAGCCCTGAGCCTAGTACAGAGCTTAGGGGGCGGGGGTCCACAACATCGTGAGCCAACGTGGCGCTTTCTTCACTTTCTAAAACCATTTTATATTTTAGAGCTCCCGGCGCTTGCTCATGCAAATCCTCCCCCCAGTGCTGGGATGTGTGAAGAGCAAGGATCTGATTTTTTTTTTTTTCCTCTCAATTCACATGGGATTTTCAGGTGGTTTTAATTAGCACCAGCCAACTCT